CTGATCCTCTGGCGATAGCAGGCACCTCTTCGTGGTGTCAGAGACTAGTATTCGGGGGAATCTTCGAAGAAGCCAAGACCTGCTCCAAAGAATCGATACAATTCAAGAATTCAACAAGACATGGTGTAAAATGACTTCAGTATTGTATGTAGATGCCACCGTACATGGCTCTGGTTCGAACAATGCGCTTTGTAGCGCTCAAAGACGCCCTGGCCTTCTAGAATGGACATTCACTACCACGAATTGTGAATTAGAGCATTGATTCATGGTTGATAGCGGGGTAGCCAACCTGGATGGCGGCTGAAATCCATGTAGTCTCTATTGGTGTGAATACTTGTGTCTACTGGCTAGCAGTGGCAACGGGGCTTGTTCGGATGTAGGGAGATGCGGAGTTTCGACGGTGAGTGGGTGGTGTGCTGGCGTGTTGATGGTGCTGGCGTATTGATGGTGAGATATGGATGTGAGTGAGGGCTGGTGAGTGAGGGCTGGAGGTGAGTGACGGTTGAGAGATGGTGATGATCGTAATGGGGACCGAACCAGTGAATCGTGAATCCACATGGTGATGGGCAGTGCGGTGACCCCCGGCGGTGAAGCTGCGGCCAACGGTAAACACCCATCCCCGTCATAGTTGGGGTCTTTGTTCCATTTGCAAAAGTTGAGAAACAGTGCGAAATGATGATTTTTATACATTAGATTAGATATGGTATTATTTCCTCCGGTCGGTCTTTTGTGTGACATTCTCTCGGCTTGAGATTAGTCGCGTGCTCTTTGGCCATATTCTGTACAATATCTGAGGTAGTGTTCCCGAATGCTGACGCGATACCTGCAATATATATCCCTAGACCAATCCTATTATGTACATGATCGGGGTAAACCGGCAAAGAACCATTGGAGTACGGCGATAGAAAGCCTCATTCTTCCAAACATTTTTCAGTTATCATTTGAAGTCGGCCTGATTGAATGAAAGACAATTCTGGAGCCCGAAACGCTGATCTTGCCGGATGTTGCCCAGAAGAATGGCAGGTATGATTATTCGGAAAGTAGTGGGTATAATCAAGTAAAATTGACTTGGGCAGCCCTTCTCCCTGCGTGCTCTACTGGGATTTCACTTGGCTTTCAGCAACGACGCGGGTTCGATTTCCGCAGGGTACATCAGAACCCGTCCGTGCGGTCCGCCCGAACTCACAGCCCGCTTTTTTTTTTCGAACCATTTCCCGAGTATTCGCTCTACGGATTAATTCTTACCTTTTGCTGATCTCAAATGAGAATGGCGAAACCACCTTTGCGGAGTCGATTGGACATGCCCGCCAAAGTCAGCAACCGGCAGTATTGAAATTGATGGCCATCGAGGACCTCCCAACCAGAAACGTGCTATGGGGGCAAAGGCTGGGTGCTCTTGCACGTCGCGTCAAACACACGTGCCACGCTCACACTGAGAGTAACATCAGCCTCTACGATCGATGTCAGTGAGAACTTCTTCTTCACATATATCACAAACCGACCTGCATCTCTCAAATACCAATTGGGCCATTGTGACCGTCTCGGCAATCGACTGGCCGGACTGGCGAGGCTACTTCTGCCGGCGGTTATGTGCGACTCGGTGGTAAAAGCGAGGAGACATTCGGTCGGCATGCGGTTGCCTTGAGCATTGCACCAGGGGAAATCGCCAATTTTATTACAGCGACTTGACTTTGGTTAGTTGCCCTCCAAATGATTCTAGAGATGAGAATGTACTTACCAGGATCAATCATGAAATAAGCCACGGTGGTAGCTTTAAACGACCGTCTGCATCCGATCACCCACATTGCAATCGCCATTGGACATACCCAACCTAGCACCGACTATCAGCAGCTGGTGCAATATGGTCGCTCGCAACTTACCTTGTTCGCGGCCTAGACGAGATCCCCAGCCGGCTATAATGCACTTTCTCGATCGGACTCGTCGGACGGCTGAATTAGGGCTGTCTGTCACTGCCTCTCTACGTTAATATGATTTCTGGTGGCTGAGGAGTGGTATAAACTTGCCGTCATGCGGTCTGGCATCAGCAGAGGCGAACCAGAGACGAGGTAGCAGGTGTCAGCTCAATCCCACGTGCACAAGGGGCCAGGATCACATTGTACCACGGGTAATGGATGTAGCCATATCTGCCAATACACGACTCTGGGCGGATCTTCAACTGTGTCAGGGCAAAGTACTACTGGACGAGAGATTTATGGTATTCTGCTTATGATAAGCTTCGACCTAACCTGAAAAAGACTGCTCGCGCGACGAGGGATATCGGGTAGATCTGAGACACGGCCGGTCAGGCCATAACGTCAGTTCAACATGCTGGCGGATGCTATTTTCGGATAAATCTCTGCCCTTTCGGTGGTCATCGATTCTCAGTTTCTTGTTGTTGCGGATGCTCCGATGGCACGCTCAGTCAACAGTGAGACCGGCTCGTCACCAGCGACAAATCTTAGGATCGGACGTCGGACAGCATATTAGTAGCCGTCAGGATATTGCGAGTTATTAGTATATTGGCTGCCAACCTTTGCCTGGACAGGGTGATACTGGAGAGGCGAACGAAAACGCTTTGGAACTTTACCGCATGGATAACCAAAGGGCATCAAGCCTCCTGAACTGGGCTCGCTAATAAGCCAGCTGAAGTGGTCATTTCAACCCCGTATTCAGAAACAACAAAGGCGCAAGCATAGTAATATTCAGTGGCTTGGTCCATCAGGTTGTTAAAGCTGGTTCAGTTTCGAAGACGAGGGGAAAACATGGCTCTTCTAGGTCAAGTGGAACATTGACGCGCGCCCTATGTGGAAGGTTATCAAAACATGCTATCTGCCTTGAGAATTTGCTGCAGTCTTTCAGTTTACGTTGTCACCTATCTCTGTCCGCGACAGGGGACAATATGAAGGGTAGCATCTATTTATCATCAATAATCAGTAGGTACAGCATATAGTCCAGGGAGGCATTTTTTAACTCACTGTACTCGCTTGGGCCATTCAGGATCACGAAAGGCTCGTCAATGGTTTCTTCGAGGAATAGCGCAGGTGGGTGATATCGAGCATCTTCCAAATTAGCACGATCCTAAATGACTGGACAGTGACACTAACTTGCTGTCTGAAGGATTTATTATCGAGATTTGTAAGGCTGCGACATAAAAGGTCAGTTCATTTCATTGCATGATTTGGAGGTCAATCCATACCAAAGAGTAGCCGCAGAGAAGAATCACGTTCGATATTCTTTCACCAGAATCACAAATGAATGCTTGCAAACGACTGTTCTGCTGGCGAGGGACCGGGTATTTATAGCAATTCAGCTGGGCATTCAGTCTGCGTCAATGAGATAATCATTGTGAATTATGAGGGCTCAAGTTCAAACTACTCTTCAATGGTAAGTGGCTCAACATTTCATCTCTGGTTCAAAGCAGCTCTCAGAGGTATTGCATTTTGCGCCTGGTAATCCAAAGCATGAGAAACATCTTCTGGCTGTTCGCATCGTGTGAAGAGTCGTGAAGATGCAGCGGAAGAAAAATTAATGACAGTTATCAACATTCACCACCGTTAGTCCGCCCTTTTCTGCGACGGGAGAGGTGACGAGGTCATGTCATTTCATTTCACTCACCGGCGATGAGTCCGTTAGTCCCCGCGACAGTAAATCGCCAAATACAGGCAGACCGCGGGTTATTCGTTGCCTACTTCGCATATCGGAGGAAAACCGATCACATCTACACAATATTAAGTAGATACAAGCTATGGTACGGCGCGGGACCGATTCGCACAGCCCCATCTGACAACAGAGTTTCTTGTATACTGATCCAGTCATTAGTTCGATTACGTTTTGAAGAACAAACCTCTGCTGTCAACCACGTCTATGCAAAGGCATTACCCACATAAATCTCCTGGGAACGAAGCGGATGCGGGTGGGACTACTACTCGGAATATAAGCCAATTAGTGCCATCAATGGCCCACATGCTCACAAGTCGTCTTGATTATTGGTTAATAATTGGCCTTGGCTCCCAGGAGGCTGCGGGTCGTAAATATTAATGCGATCATTGGATACCCATAATAGAGCAGATGAGTATTGAGCCAATAGGTGCCATGATTAATCCAAATTATCCACAAAGCCTCCGTAGAAATGATTGGTCCAAATTTGGCTATGAGACTATCATTCCTTTCACGACCACGATAGGCCGCTAGTTGTCATTTTGTAATGGTATTGCAGCTTGCATGAAAGTCTGATCTATTCAATAATAGGGGCAAAAAGCTATTTAACAAGGTTACTGCTTTGGTAAGCAGGCTAATGACTAATTGCCAAGTAATAGGCAATGTATCCGACTAGTATCGGTGACTTTGTCGCGACAATTCCACCTACCGTGATTGGATAGCACATCATTAATACGCACATCGAATTCCCGGGACCTGGATACCTCTGCAAAGAGATATAAGCCCGCCAGAGCCATGAATGCCCACAAACACATAAGGCCGGAGTGAAAAAAAGGGTTAATATCTCACCCTGACTTTCGGTGCCTGTGGTCGTCAATATTAATGCTATCCTGGCACGCGTTGGATGTGCCTCACAATTTGGAAAGCGATACGCCGGATAGATAACGGTTGGTAAATGTCACCAACTAGTTACGGTGTACCAAGTTAAGTAAAACATTTTAAGGCAAGGTTGATTGATTCATGTATGATACAGTAGATGTAGATTTCCAGTCAGGACAGGTTGAGGATACCCCTGAATCCCATACGCCGGATCCGCAGCTTAGCGCAATGTTACACACTGAAATGTGATCTATTGTATCAGACTCTAGCTTGTTCTGATAAAGGGATATGTCCCGAAAATAACACTTTATCTGACTTTGTACAGTAACGTGAAATCTTTATTATCTCTTTCGCTTCATTAATGCTAATTAAATTGTCAAAATCTTCCGCAACGCTTCTTGCTGGAGGCTCACAAGATACATATTAATTATTTACACTGCATGATTTTATTAAATCCACATGGTTTAGCTTCTCGCTCTGTTCTCTTCGTCGCCATTCTGCAGCTCAGCAGGGCTGATGACACCTTCATCAGCTTCATGTATCGGCTTCGAAGATAGTTGCTTAGGCTCTCCATATCCAAGATCCCTCATTTGATTCTGGAATTGTTCCATCATTGCTTTCGACTCGGCGCGCGCCTTTTTCTTCCCCCACCAGAACCCGAATCCGAGCATCGAAATCGCCAGGATACCCAGAGGGACCCCAACCCCAACTCCGATCGCAACCTTCGACGATGACCCGCCATCACCATTTTGAGTATCACTGGTTGTTGATTCGGATGAGTTTGATGGACCAATTGAGACTAGCGTGGAATCGAGGACGATCTCATTGTCGTTCCCACAACAATCCGTGCTTTTACCGCAGCAAAACGATCGTCCTGAGCCATTGGGGCAGCGTGTCATCATAGCCGTCCGATTCGATTGTCCGCCTGTCTGTAATATCGTCTTGTCAGAAACGATTCAAATGAACGTAGATTGCAAAGGGGCGGAAAGCCTAGGATATCTTTCATCCTCTTGTTGAACGTACCCCATCAGCACAAGTGGTTTTGGGAAGACAGTTTGGACTATCCCACGTCGGATCTGTGCAGTATTCTCTCCAGTAGATATTCTTTGTCGAATAACATAATCCATTTGGATCGCATATATCCGGATTTGTATGGTTCATCTTGCAACACATAGAGTCCACGCCATCAATGGCAATGCAAGGGACGTAGGTGTCCTCTGTCACCTCATTACCGTCTGGACTATAGCAGGTGTGCTTGGCAATAACCGTTTTCAAGCATAGAGCTAGTATCCAAGCGGAGAGCTTCATTCTAGCCAGCGTTCTCTGGGTGTCAATCAACCGCTAGTGGAAGATAATAAGGGCGATGGGAAGAAGATGAAGAAAATGCCCCATGTGACGAAGGGGACTGCATTGTTGTTTTTCTGCACTGTTGGGCTATAACGACCAGCTCATAGCACTATTCCTGGTTGGACGCCTTAAATTTCCCGATCTAGTATTCAAGTCCACAGGCGAGAGAGCTCATTGGATACTGACTACGAGTATCCTACCACTGCCCCTAGCAAAGTCTTGGCGAAGTCTTGGCGGGCTTGTGGCACGGTGGAGCTCGTAGACTCGGACCCTGAAGCTTGAACCCTCTGACGAGCCCTTCATCGTTTGAAAGAAAAGCTTGAGTGAATCCTTTAATTGTTAACCTATTTGAAGTATCTCACTGGTTTATAAGGTACTGCACGTCTTGAGGAGGCCACTAAAATTTTTCGAATCTGCCGATCAGCGACGAAATGGGAATGTTCCAATTAGCTGAGCCCCGATACCTAATGGACCCCTCTCTTGGCGCCTTGGCCTTCCGGGGGTGATCTCCTAGTTGCAAGCAGTACTGCAAAATGATTCGCTAACAGCCGTTCGTTAATTCACAATTATACCAGTCTACCCTAGCAGTATTGTAGGAGGAGGTTCAGATAATCTGAAGACAACCATTACTATAGCCCATATTCGCCCAAAAGGGGTTAGCTCTGCATCACTGCCTCTAAATTTAGGGATTGAAACTGTATACTAAAGCCCAGGAAAATGGTGTTGTGATATGAGGCTGGTGCAGATCAGGAACCAAGCCGCACCATCGGAATTAGCTCCGAGATGTCTTTACAGACAATCAAGTTGATTGGAAATCAGATTGGCTGCATTTTGTACAGGGTGTGTGAGAGAGAGTGTGTGTGAAATCATTTACTCCGACCCCTCGCAAGTTGAGACACTGGATTGAGGTACAAGTATGATGATTATTCTCTAACTATGCAACTAGGCGCAGCTATTTGTAGTCCCAGTAGCTGACTTCTGCCTAGAGTGATGATGGCAGCCTAATAGGCTGCCACTACTGTATCTATACGTCATGTAGCCTGGGATCCAACTTCGCAAACGATACGCAGGATACGACAACTATATATCTTGGATTATGTACAAGCAGAGTGATCCACTTCCTGACAGTATCTTAGAGCCTCGTCACGGTCTATCGTGGCCCATTGCCGTCCCCATTCTTAGGCTGGCCTATGACGCACGACTGCGAAACCTCTGTGACGCCTCGGCGAAGGCCAGTACAGCTCGTACTGTCTTGGCTCGCGAGAAGGTGTCTAGTTTACCTTTCTCGCCTTCATTTGAGCCTCCCAGCAGACTCGATACACTGTTGAGCGCGTCCTCGACTTGTCTTCTCAATTCCGCTCGCGGCTCTCGTAGCCTCGGGTATTCCATCAAAACGTGGCGTGCTGTCTCCTGCGCGCCGCACTCACAACGATCATCATCGCTGTAGCCAATCTTTTTTCGGTAGCAAGATAGCCAGTTGTGGCCCGTGCGTAGCCGTGTCAGCAAATACGCTCGGTTCCTGGGTAAATTCCCATAGAGTTTTCTGGTGTACCGCAACGGTAGCGTGTTGTCAATCTTCTGTAGGTGTGAGCCCTTGGTGCTTGACTTCCATTCTTGTCCCCACTGAGCATGAATCTTATTGCGAATATGTGCGTTTTCCTTTGACAGTAGCGGCCGAAAATGGTGGGTTTTGCCCGGTTGTGCAGCTTCCTTAGCGAGTGGATCCGCCGCATCGTTGCCGATGTTTTCACAATGCCCTGGCATCCACTGGAGGCGGAGCGTCATAGATTTTGCTTGGACCTCGGTGGCTGCATGGAGGGTTGCATGGCCGATTCGCTGGCCCGGTTTATTTTTCGCGTTTTGAATTGCTTGCAGGGCCGATTTGCTATCACAGAGAATAGTGGCGGTTGCGTGACTACTGTTTCCGATGATCGGGCGTTGGTGAGCTAACTTGAACACCATGTTGACCGCGTAGAAGATGCTAATGAGTCCCGCTACATGAAACGATCAACGATCCATCGGTCCCACATGGATTTGTTCAGACTCCATCACCTCATCGCCATCATTGAGTGCGACGATGGCAGCGCCCAGATGACCCTCGCATCCGGAAGCGTCCGAGTAGACGACAATATTCGGTGTGTTCCTCGCAATTTCTGCTCGTTCTCTCACTGTTTCCCGGTCGTGTTCGAGCTCGATCTCCGTAAAGGCGTCCGACCGCCACGGGGGCAACGGGCGCGGGTCAATCATTTCCAATGTGCTGAGCTTGTCGACATCCATAGTCATTAAGGCTTCCGCAAGGGGGAAGCGGGCGTATGATCCGACATTGTTTCTACGATTCTGGGCTCTTGACAGGGCACCCCAAATGGGATGGTCACGAGGTAGAGTGTGTAGTCTCGCTATGGTGCGTTTGTGCTCGGTGGCGAAGGCGGAGGGGCAGTGGGCAGTATATGCGCTTCAACCTCTAGTGTCGCGGTTGCTACCGTCCTGAACGCGGACAGGATCCTGATCAACACGGTTCTCTGGACAGTGTTCAAGTGTCGGAGGTGAAGATTGTTCCGGAGCGGGTCATGCCAGACCGCCGATGCGTAGTCTACTATAGGCGCGACGCATGCTTGGTATAGCTGTCGCATCTGCTCTGGGGGGGAGGTGCCGTAGCCCGCTTAACGCGAGAGTCGTCTTGGTGGCACGCTTAATGGCCTGCTGAACGTGTTCTTTCCAGCGAAGTCCCTGGTCGAACACTACTCCCAGCAGCTTGGCTGTGGGTGACGGCTGACAACGGTTCCATTGAAGGTGATATGGCCATGAAGGTATACTCCCCTCTTCCTGGCGAGGTGGATGAGCTTAGTCTTCTCCGCGGCGAAGCAGGACCCGGGTCCGCCGCGCCCACTCCTCGATGCGAGGGACATCTTCGGATTGTATCTTGGCTACGTTTCCTTCGACTGAGCTGCCCACTCGCCATCGGAAGTAGTCGTCAATGAATGCCGACGCGCCTCCGTGTGAGTTGACGGGCTGGTCAACCAGGTCGGCATTGAAGAATGCAAACAAGATGGGAGAGAGCGGCGAGCCTTGCGCTAGACCTGCATGTACTAATAGTTCCGTCTCGGTACGGAAATCGTCAAATCCAATGTTGGCGTGCCGGTCGCTCATGAAACTGGTAATCCATTTCCTGGCTACCATCGCGATCCGTCTCACCCGCAACGACGCATTGAGGCTCAATCTTACTCACTCTATTGGAAGCGCTATTGAGGTCGAACGCAATCAGGGTCACCACCTTGTATTTGTACCAGGCTTGGTCGATCGCGCTGGATAGCACCAGTAAGGCTTGCTCCGTGGTCCTGCCCGGGCGTCCGCCGAACTGGCTGTTCGGTAGCAGGCCATGTTTCTCCGCGAGGTAAGACAGTTGTCGAGCCATTACTGCCTCGAGGAGCTTGCCGAGAGTATTCAGCAGTGAAATTGGATGGTAGGCACCGGGGGCCGAGTAGTCCACCCATTTTGGACCAGCGGCGGGATTCAGCCAAGCGTGGGTAGAAAAATAACGTGACTTTTGACACACCTTCGGCCAATTGTTATCCCGCGATTTCTACCCATGCTGACTATCTAATTGCAGCGTGGGTAGAAAATTCCTACCCATGGTGGGTCTAGTTCACGAGATTCTATTGGTTGTGAAGTATAGCCCTAGTTTTAATTGTCACTCTATACGGCACTCATTTTTTTTTTTAAACTTCTATAACATATGAAAAACATATAGTATTCATATGTACTTGATAAATACGGGCTGTAGGAAGTAATTCGATCGCTCCTTCCATTCACTAAACCTGAGTGAAAGAGATAGAAGGTACAAGTGAATATAAACAAAGGATACCTTAATATATATACCCGCTCAACACCTTCTCTCCCTATGCTTCATGTAACTCTCTCCTATCCCCACCTCTTCTTTTTCATCTCTCCCGCATGAACCTCATCTTTTGAGTAAATCTTTCATCCATTTCTCTTCTCTCATCGTCATATCTTAACAATGGCGGATCACACTTCGTTTGCGACGTTCACCGGACACCAGCTGAACCGCGCCTACTTCGAAGCAGAAGGTGTTGACCAAGCAGTCAATCCTAACCCCATCTTCGGTTATTTTCATGGTATGCTCCTGCAACTCATATGCAAAACATATGCTGATCATCTCCAGGACCTGTTATCAACCCAAACCTATTCTGGGTCCCTCTGGCTGCAGTTGGATTACCTCGTTCCGTCATCACTGCTACTATGATCGGTACTCTGGATCAACAGCCGCCTAATCCCCCCCCTTCGCATGTCGAAGATGAACTTTCTTGTGTGTCCTGTGGTCGAGATACAGCTAGTCCATCAGTGCGGCATGACATTCGAGACCCAGCCGGATTTTCGCCGGCATCTACGTTAAGTTTATCCGGGTTGCTGTGAGTCTATATGTCTTTTGTACATTGGAAGTATTTACTAACATACGTCAGTCGAGAGCCCAGATCGCCGTCCCATCCATCGTCTCGAGGTAAACGTGGGCACCCTGGCCCTGATTTGCTACCTTCGATCGTGCGATTGGCGGAATGCAGTCTTTATGCATGAGCCAGGCCGTGGTCCGGCAGCCAGTAATGTCGGTTACTGGGCCGATTGCATGACGACTATTGCACGCATCGATGATACCTGGGTTCAACAGTACGGCCAGTTGTTCTATTGTGATCAGATGCCTCTGGTCCCAAACAGTGGTGGCCGAAGTCGACGTATAAGTTCCTTATGTTATTGTTATTGTTTTGATATATGATCCTTATGCTAACCATATACAGTACAGCCAAAATCCTCCTCCTGCTCCGATCCCCTTTGTTAATCTTGCGGCAATTCTCGCCGCAGAGCACGGTCATGCTTCCGCTCCTCCTATTGCTGCTGGAGCTCTTCTTGGTCCTGCTAGTAATGGCGACGGCGATGGCGACGGTGATGGCGACGGTGATGGCGACGGTAATGCCGACGGCAATGGTTCCGATGATGGAGATAATAACGGTTCTGGTAATGGAGATGGTGATAGTAACGGCATTAGCGATGGTAACTCAGGATAATATCTCCAATATCTTGATACTGAATATGTAGTATTCTTTTATTCAATCTACAATATCAATCAATTTAATTCAATCTAAGTATATCCTCCCTGTCCAAACTCTTTATAAAGCTGTGCTTGAAGTTTCTTATACTTTCGTTTAGCTCTAAGAGTTGTAAGTTGTTCTTCTATTACTTGACTCTGTTCTTCAAATTGTACTTGTGTACTGCTTGGAGATTGGCGAGATCTCGATTGTAAGGTTACCTGTGATGATGCCTGTAACGATGCCCGTGTCTGAGATCGAGAAGAGATATCTCCAGTCTGAGAAATGATAGAATCAGATACTGAGGTAGTATCTGAATCAGGTAAGAGAGGTAGTAGTATCAGTGATTCATCCGCTATCTTAACACTGAGGTAGGCATTAGAAGGTCGTTGTTGAGGAATGCCTTTTCTATGAAATCGATGTGCTGAGGTGCGGTCTTGAGCATTCCTTTTACGATTCGCTTTTGCGATATGCGCAATATTGCTTGTATCTCGCTATGAGGTATACCGACCAGTCTCAAGCGCGGTATTGGTTGTATTGTATATCTTCTTGATATGACGTTTGGTTCTAATTTGGTTATGTTAGCTATATGTATTATATATCAGAATATCAAACGTACGTAAGAACAGCACTGAGAAATGATTTCTTTTGCCCGACTGCTTTATTATCTATAAAATGACTGCTCTCGTAAGCCCCGGTATGATGTTGCGCATAGATCTACTACTTGATTGGAATTTTAGAAGCCTCTCGTGATATACTGGCGAGAACCTAAGGCGTTTTCTTATTCTTGAACTAACTTTCTGTCTCTGGCTATCTCTGGACTGCTTCTTCTATAATTATATAAACTTTGTAGATACTTGTTGCAGCAAGGAGATCATCAAGGGCTCTGATTGCTTAATGGTCTCCGAATTTCTTCTGAAACGCTTGTTTGATATGGGTCTTACAGAAAACAAGGATATGGAATAGGTGTTCGCTCTATATTAAACCAGCTTTGGGGTTGCGAGCAGCCAAATATTCACCAAATCCTGCATATGATTAGTATATGTATTGTATATGTAATTAATAAACATACTGCGTGCTTGCGTTCGGCTTATATCAAGAGTCACCGTACGGATTCTATCACTTGAATCTGTTCTACCAGTCTGATATGCCTATCTTACAGGTTGACGACCCGCATTGCCTAGCTCTCTAAAGAGCTGTTCAAAGAGAATTGGATATGTTTTAGGTGACTCCTTGTTGATATATACATATTGTAATGGGGGATTCCGCTCTCAACACCGGTATCCCATAGTCAGGTGATTGGGGCCTTAGTAACAAGGCAGCCATTTAGATTCGGGAGAATAAGTAGCGTTCGTTCCATAGTATCAATAACAACATGCATGTTCCCCCTGATGAATTATTCTTTCTGCTGAGGCTACTGAGGCTGAGGTTGCGGTATCGGTATATCGCATGTCCATGAAGACTCGAATGTCTTATTAGTCGCATCTCGATAGCGTCACGCTTTGTCTACTACTCTCCTGCACTCTGCGAGTGTGGTGGTTTTGTCCTCTTGCGATCGACCCGTCTGCTTGACAGACTGCCAGCGAGCATTCCCATCTTACAATATGCAATATATATATCGGTTCAGCAAATGGCGAGATTACCTTAAGGCAGTGTATCCTGCCAATAGACACAGAATATTGCCGAAGGGACTGACACTGTAACCATACATTTAGAAAACCAAGAGTTCACAGTGACAAAATAATATTTTCTTAACGAAGAGAAGAATCAGTACATAGCAGATAGGAAACGCTTTTAAACCCTCCTTACGCTTCTTGAAGTCCAAGCAATCGATTCACCGCGGTGTGGGCTCCGCAGATGCTGTAGTCCACAGTCGCACAAGTCTCATCTGGTATTTCGACAAACTGGCCCACGACTGCCAAATTGGTTATTTTCTCTGGTATTACCTTTGGACGATCTCCAGAAGCCCGACTCAACAAGGGTGCTGCTAAGCGAGGCATCACACGCGGGATATTAATCGAATTATTCAACATGAACTCTCGGGGTATTTTGAGATGGTGGGCTAATTCAACCAAAATCTCCTGCCCAGAGCAACTGAGCATTGCTTTCTTCACGTAATTCCCTAAATGATTAGGGGTTGAACAATAGCCCCAAATCACGCTCACATCTCTGGATTGATGTGAGAAAAGCGGTTGACATGGGATAAGCAGTTTGATGGACCAATTGCTTTTTTGAAGGACGATTAAAGTTCTTGAACCAACCTCAGCTTTCACTGATTTGATCAAATGATCCAAGCATTCAGTGCTTTGAAACGTAGTTGTGAAGGTTTCCACTCGAGATTCATCCACTCGCGTACAAAAATTATACGGATCGCCTAAAGTTGAACCGAATGCTAGCCAGAGCGACCAATTTTCATCCAATCTGTCCTCTGCTTTCAGTAATTCCAACGAGGGTGGCTTTGTATTGGTACCGCTGGTTGACCCGGATACTGAGGACCCAAGGGTTGCAATAACAATGTTGTGTTTGCCAACAGTCACAATAGTCTCTGTTTCGTCTTTGATCCATTTGAAAGCTGATATTCTCCGGTAACCTTGCTCCTGATCCATGACTATGTCAGTGACTGTGACGTCGAAGTGAATATCAACTCCTTCTTTCTGAAGCAAACGGGTTATTGGCAAAATAATATCTTCTTGCGGGTCGCAAATAAAGCGATCAGGAGGACTGGATTTGTTATGAGGTCGTCCATTGTGAAAGAATCTCTGTAAGCATCGACGGAATTCAATAGCGCTAGACCAGAGACAGAAACCAAATCTTTTGTGTTCGCCAATATTAGCAATGATTTTGAAAATCTTTCGATGAGAGACTAACGTAGAAGACCAGGTAATCCAGAATGCGCTGGAAAAGAATTTTGCCTTAAAGCAATCATAGATCACTTTTCTATCAAGGCTCTTTTCGGATTTTAGAACGAAATTCATTAGGCTCATCCAGACTTTCCATCCAATTCTGAAGTTGTTGGGGTCGATAGCTTCCAGGTGATTGTCACCTTGGAATAGAAGACGAGTGGCGCCCACATCCTCTTTGGAACTGTTTAAGTTGTCGAGTGCTGTCTGCTCCGAACAAGCGATCGAAGGAACTAGAGAAAGTAGGTACTCGGTATATTTGTCGCGAACTATAGGCAAGCATGAAGATCGGTGGTCATAACCACTCACCGCATCACCTGTGGTGGGTAATCCATCTTCTGGTGCTCCGCGGGACTCGAAGAGATGAATCTGAGGAGCAGGTATTTCTGCATCCCGAATCAAGAACACTGCGGATGCCAAAGAGCCAATACTCGAGCCAAGTATCCAGACATTAAGGTCCTCATGTTGCCGTTGATTTTGGTCTTGGTCAGACATATTTTTGCTGGTCACTTTGGTTTATTTGTTTGTCACACAGGTTTCCCCAATTCTGGTGCTGAGCGACGTGTGGCGACTAGCATTAGTCCTAGACGGCCATTGACGTCATTAGGAGTTTCACCAAAATGCGACCGCGTTTTCCAACCACCACTATTCAACCTTCTACCACGCCACCAATTTGCTCTCAGTCATGTCAAAAAAAAGGAGATCACGAAGGACGAATCCTGCTTGCTTCACAAGCATTCAAAAGCAGTGAAATTTCGACTTTTCGTGATGCAACGCGTATTTGACATTCTATTCTCAATGCTATCTACGCGGGGTAAGGGCTCAGTTTATCGGCCAATACAGCGCACCAACAGCCATAAACTGACCGAATGGGAGCAATCGGTTTGAAAATTGATACTCTTTATTGATGCACGTGTAGGGACTCCCCGATATGAAATTTTGCGAAACATGGGCCAATTTTTTACTAGCCAAGCGTAGGAATGATGTTCAATGAAATAACGCCAAAGAGAGCGATTCTACTATCACAATCACCCACATCAATGTTCGTTCAGACTGATACGTTGCTTGGGCTGAATAAATTGCACACCTCTGTCAGTCCGTATCAATGTCTGATCCTGAGTCTTCTTTTGCGTAATAATTGCTTTCGGTGGCAAGACGATGAACATCTTCTGCGTGCCTTCGAAGATGCATTTCGTGTAGGAGATCCTAGCTACACATATGAATGACATCTCCGATCCTCCAAGTGCTTTTTTCGAAAGTGTCGCAAAGTTGATTTGTATTCGCTATATTTGTGTGTCCGACAATGAACAGGCAGCAGAGTATCGCCGTAACATTGAAAGCATCGTCGAGGCTTTTTGGCCTTTCGGATATACTTCCCAGCCTTCTCCAGAAGCATTTCTTCCTTCGACATTGCGGGAGAGACGGAGGTTGTCTTGGTTGTTCGCACTTCCCTTGCTGTCAGCTCTTCATCGGACTCATCGCTTGGCGCCGGCCGTTTGCGTCGTCCACGCAGCGGCCCGCCTTCAAGGTGACAACAGTATTGCGAGATGGCAACGAAAGAACCGTTTCGTCTCTGCCACTCCGCCTCCAATGAATAGGAAGTTGGCCAGGTAAACAACTTCTCGAGAAGATCAATCTGCTCTGGCAACATATTGTCTGTTCGTAGCACGTTTTTCGCTTCCTCGTCAGCGATAGCCGCCCCGGAGAGCTGTCGCTCAATGTCTATATTCGCCTGTTTACGGTCAAACTCCTTTCGAACTTTCTGTCTCAATGCCCTCTCTAGCCGGTCAAATGTGTTGAGCTTTTCGCGTGCGAGTTTGTCATGTCGCAATCGCATCTGCTCATTCAGATCATAGACGAAAACTTCAGCTTGCTCATCCAATCTCCGGACGGCTCCGACATACTCTGGATGTTCACGTATCGAAGCTCGTTGCTCGGCTGTCAAGTGTCGATGCCGCCTCGTATCAATCCACCTGCTCGTGCGGGTGATTGCGCGCATGAGGGGTTTGTTGGATTGGCGGCCGTTCATCACATTTTGCATGTCCGTGTCAACATGTCGCGGAAGGTAATGATTAAGGAAGGTGCGAGAATCTGCGTGCTTCATGATCAAATTCTGCTGAGCTTCGCTGACCGCATCACTATTGTTCAACATCATTCCACCTCCATAGCGCATACGGTGCGCAAACATCGACTGCAGCCAACCATGAATCTCCCCGAGATTGCTCAGTCGAGCAGACATGGTGACACTGTGCATGGGCTGATCCCACAGAAGAACCGGATGCCCGTTGACCACTTTAGCTTTGCAAAAGATATCTACCTCGGGTTTCAAGGGGAGTGGCATCTTGCTGGCGACCGCCTTCGACAAATAGACTTCTTGGTTTTTCCATAGAAAGGGCTGGGGATTCAAAAGCCTGAAGCCAGAAAAGTATACCAAAGATGAAAAGGTGGGGGCTGAAGATAAGCGACGGGTCGTCAATAATATCAGGGAACGTAAAAGTGTTACTAAGAACAAAACCAAAAATAATAAAATAATACCGAGCTGCTAACCCCCCCCCCCCCAAATGGGCAGATATGTCACTGCGCATAGTCACTCACATACACGCAACTCAGACCTCGATCTCGCGCGGAATCCCAAAAAAAGACGACGATGACGATTTTAAAACATACAACGTTTGATCAGCGAAATAAGTGTTCATAATCAGTGAATAGAATTGAATAAGGTGACCGCTGTTGTGCCGCCTCCTGTATTGATAGAGTCTAGAGTCATGTTGATGAATGTTGAAACGTGCCGTCGGCGCTTTTCTGCAGACTACCGAGAGTGTTGAAACGGTGCCAACAGGAAGGGTTTTTGATATACTGAATCATCAAGAACTCAAAACTCCCAGATGCCTGCTACTTTCTTTAACTTCGCCGATCTCTCAATCAGATCACCGAGGCTATACCGACTCAAATTTCGACTCATTAATTGAGGTGTGCGTCGCAGGGGGGCGCTGCGTCATGAAGTGAGCTCTGCAGTTGGTATCTGTGATGACAAAATACCCGCAGGGGACAGCTGCGATACGAATTGAACTCCACAGGAGAGGGCTGCGTTAACAAACCCTCCCTCGCAGAAATGACCCTGCGATTGTAAAAACGTGCTCCGTCACAGCCAATGAGCCCTGTGATTGTAAGAATGCGCTCGTTCGGATAAGCCCGTGCGCCGTGGGTTCTTTTCCTGATCCTCTGGCGACACGCAGGCACCTCTTCGCGGTGTCAGAGACTAACTTACATACCACTGGGTGGTCTTTCTCGGGCTTTGGGTCCAGGCTGATGGAATCGCCGCACTCTGACGTGCGATCCGACGTGCAATCAGGCAGCTTACTTTCTTCCGTATCTTCCCCAACTCGAATGTCTGTGATATCCATGTCGGCCATGAAGAAAACGAAATCTCGCGGATGATCTTGAGTACTTTATTCTGACAATTTCTCTTTTATAGGCTGATTACGCACATCGAATCTAATTCCCCAATGGTGATCCGTATCATACTCAAAGTAGTTGGTTCATCCTACGTTAATAGTCAATTCACCAAACCCTCAATTGTGAAGTGTTAGTTTCGGAAGCATGGTCTCGATGGGGCGCGTATCATGTGATACTACACGAGGAAAGCTGTATCAGCATGAATCGGGAGCTCCTGCATCCGAGCCCAGGTAAGCCTCGATCAATTGTCGCTTAGGGTTGAAAATTAATTCTGATACTTGCTATATAGTTCTGGACTCGTCGAACCTTGCAGTCAGCAGTTGGATCCGCAGCGGACCAAACAATGCCTGTTCGCAGACTTGATGGTCCCAGGTCTACCGGGTGAATTCGTTTCATTTATCGCTCGACGAGGAAGTGATTGAGGTTATGGTTCGCAATTTTAAGGAGTGGATGCCGGATAATTATCCCGTTTGGACTTGCGTGCAGGTTTGTCGGCTTGGTGATCCGAGGATGAGGGTTGAGATTGAGGTTTCGGCTTTTGATACTGCTGGGGCGAGAGTTGGGAGGACTAGTAGTTGTTAGGTAGTTGTTAAATGGATGGATGGTGCCTCTGATCAATTTGATTTTGATTTTATAACAACAGCAATACTGAAGCAAAATTAAAATCAGATGGCCTTGACCCGGTTTTAGTGGCAACTGTTGGTGCTCTACTATAAGAAAAGCAGAAATCCTTCCACATATAAATATTTAGTGTATGTTGGCAGTATTATCAGAACATCCACATGCAACATTCCGATGCTATGTAGTTCAAAAGAGGCGAGGAAATCCTCATCTACGGTTTGAAACGGTTTCCTTCTCTCACCCGACTATTACAACACCCACACATGGCCATCTTTACGAGCCGCTGTATGAAACGCCCATGATCCGGGCATTTCCCGACATTCAATTATCCGATTCCGCGAGGGTGGCCCGGGGGAAAAGCGAGCTTTCCTACAAACCTGCAGAACCGCGGGATGAAATGGATGGATCTGGCAAGGAGCGGTGGCACGAATTCCGCATGGTAACGCGGGTATTGGCTCAAGAGCAGTTGCCCAATCTCCCTGAATTGGTGATTCATACCCATCGACTTACTGGCGTGGGGCTGAACTGCTGGTACGAGCGAGATTTCGCTTCCAGACCAAGACTTTTTATTGGTTACTACCCGGAAGGAATCGTGTCACCGAATAGAGCGATTTGGGTTGATCAAGAAATAGAGGAATTCATGTGCAACTCTGGAGGAGATCCCTTTCCATGGGACGAATATCCCAATATGGTGGATTATGGTAGGGGTCGATTTTGATCAGGAGTTTGAGCGACCGAACGCTGGCCACAAGATTGGTAAGATTGAAAGTTGGCGATGAAGTGCTCACCTAGAACAATACTATCTCTCAAGGATCAAGAGAAACTAAAACATATAGTATCAACTCTTGCAATAATAACCACCCAGTCTGGAGCAGATACAGATGCTTAAAAGATCCCGTGATATAGTACTGTCGGGATCTTCATGAAATTCCAGCAACTCATTCAGTAAAATGATGGATGTTCTCTTAACACAGTCACGGTCGCACGTCTTTGTGTTCAAGGTAATAGAAACATGCAAATCAACCACGGAATGGGGCGTTCCTCGACTGGTCTACCTAAACCAGATGCGGAAAAATTAAAGTTTCTACCCCATGAACCCTGGACGCATCACGTTGGGGAAAGGTTTATCTCAAATTATACTCCAATCATTGAAATGAGCGAATACCTGCTGTCGACGGATCGGGCTTCCGATGATTTATTTTAGAAACACTAGACCACGAACCCTGGGCCCTAGCGTCGCCAAGATACAGGATGGGTGGCAAGTCCCGCCAGTTTGTCCCCAAGCCCATGAGCCAAGAGTTACCAGAGCCCCAAATACCATCACCATTATGATAATCATTGGGTAATATGAAGAACTTCAATTTAATTCTCAAGACTAGCAGATATCGTGTTTTCTCTCTCGCTTCGTTATTTAAGATTTAATATTATATAAATTTCAGATCGCACTTCAATTAATGACCATCCACCAAAATGATAATAATTAAAGAAAGTCCAAAGAATCAGAAATGTGTCACCAGGTTCTCGAGACCAAGAAAACCCTACTCTAGAATGATTTCTGGAGTTCCTCAATCCTTGCATTCTCCCACATTGACCTCTGTTTTTGAAGGAAAAAATTAGTAAAGCTCATCCAAGTACTTTAAATCATCCGCAGTGTGTTAAAAAAGAAAAGAGGGTGACCTACGGCAGCGTCGGGGCTTATATTCGTCCTTGACCCACCAACCCTTCGGATTCTTGTACCAGTTCCTGAAGGAAAAGAAGATTTAGTAAACAAATTTACGGGAAGGAAAGAGGATAAGTAGGACATACTGGTATTTGCAGACGGGTGCAAAGTTGTCGCCGACCTTGGACTCGCCGACGGTGCCGCTGGAATCACAGGGATACTTATGATACCAGTAAGGCTGCTTCACCTTGCACCAATCCTGAGGGCGGTCATCATCATCCCAGTGATTGTCCCAGCCCTTGCCTCCATGACCATGATTCAAATCGCCATTCCAGTTGCCTCCGCGTTCTTCCAGGGAAGAGTCAGAGTTGGCGGCGGCGACTGGGTTGGCCATGGCGACTTGCGTAGCCAGGGGAAGAAGGGCAGCGAGGATGAAGATGGGGGACTTCATGATGAAAGATGCGAAAGTTCTGGTTTGAAAAGTTGAGTGTTTGATATGTTTAGAATTGATCTTGTCTGAAGGATGATGAAAAGAAAATTGTAGATGTTGGATTCGAGAGGCTTTAAGTATTGACGTGTGGATACTTTCTTTTTTATTCTCTGAAAGAAGAAAACATGCTTCAATAGATGTAAGTGTCATCAATTAAGCAATAATTAACTTGTGCTCACGACGGAAAGGCATGAAAGTCTTCCTTGATTCAATTCTTCCATGACCGTTGATGGCAACATGAAAAAATCATAACAGGATAGGTGATCTAGCCGCTGGAAGACTCGTTCACGATTCGGAAATTTCAATAGCTGCCACAACAATAAGGTTTGTTCCGAAAGCATGAAAGTAGCTCTAGGCCAAGGATATCAATCTCTGCGAGCTGTTTGTGGCGGAGCCCCCCCAGGTCCAAGTTATTCAACTAGGTGGTTCTCAATTTGGATTCGTCAGGTTCCGGGGATTGCATGGGAGAAAAAAAGCGAGAGCGAGAGCGAGATTGAATAAGCACAAGATTGGAAACTCTGAAGCTGGAGTTGTGTGGTTGACAGAACAAGAATGCGATCTACGTTCGTATCTCGCAGCTGTGTTCCGCTGGCGATGGCGGGCTTGGCATACATCCGGGCTTGGCATTCATCCGGGCTTGGCAGACGTAAACGACCGCTGCAGTCAAATGATCAGTTCGCCATCCGGAGTCGCCAAGCTAATATTGATTTCTTCTTTCATTCAATTTGTTTTTCTTTATTCATCCGTGGTATGGCAGTTCATGAAATCCTGTAAGGGTGATTGACTTTGAGACATGGCCGATTCTATTTCCCTGTTTACAGAATCGCCGACTCGAGAATTCCCACTCAGCCCCCTTCCCATTAAAAAGTTCCTAGCATATCTGATAGCACTGGAGCTCTGCAGAGAATATTTAGGCTGTTTCCTCGATCGGCGTGGGTAGAGATGCTGATGTGCCTTGATCCCCGCTGGCCATACCCGCTCTCTTGTGATCCTCCCACAGGATTTCTACAGTGTAGCTTTAGCATGGGTATTGAGGCTCTTTGCTTGCCTTATGCCTGCGTCTGAGTCAGCTCACCCCCTCTTTTTGTCGTTCGTTATTAGTTTGTCACCCAGATTACTTTTGTGATTGCCTTGGATGAATTCAAAAGGTACTACGCGATGGTTTCAATCTACGGTCTAATACCGAAGCCTAGATATCCCCTGGCAGTGGCAGATATTGGACCCTCCTTTGTCGTTGGCGATAAGCCTCCCGTTGATGTCCCACACAGGTACGGGCCAATCGATTGTTCGGATCCGCCGAGGAACGAGAGAAAAAACAGCTTCATCTGCCCAAGAGCCGAGGAGCAAAAGCCGGAAGTATATGGACTGAGCAAGTCGCGTCTTTGATCACTTTCACATTGCTATCGCGTTCCGTGGTCCTCTAACTTGACCCTTGAACAGTATGAATTTATTCTGCGCGTAATTTCTGAAAGATTTGCCTCTTTCCTAACTAGTGAATTTGACGCTGAGGAACGAGCACAGCCTTCAATATACTAAGATGTCAAATATTTTATATGCCAGCCAAGTCTTTATCTTCCCCACGTCTGTTTGTCGGTCATTATCGGGCAATTTGTCAAACCAAAGCCCGCTTTGCCTAAAGAAACAACGGCTCCTGAGACCTACACCAGCTTAATATCAGTACTTGGGAAGGTTGGGGGAGAATGTCTTAATTGTTGGTTACTGTATCAGCGATGTTACCAAACACAATCTAGGCCTGTATTTACGACATTAGTTATAGAGCAATGAATTTTGAGCTTGATTCTCAAGGGAATTTTTCAGACGATTGATTCTTAACCATGTGATCATTAAAAAATTGGTCGATTTAGAGGACAAAATCTTGCTAAACACGTCTAGTCTACTGCACTAGTATTTCTTCATAGATGAATCATCTACAGCGTCGGCAAGTTTATTAGTACTGAATCTCAACTTCCAATGGCATGAATTCTTCGCAAAATAAATACTACATAAGGTCAAGTATCAGTGCGCTCATTTTGGCTGGTCCTGCCGGTGATGTCCAGCCAGTTAGCATTAAAACGTCTGCCCGTGGTAGCCAATAGTCCTTGCTCCTCAGCCTCATCGGTAGCTTCGTCGAGCTGTCTTTCGCCCAAATTCGGGGTGCGAAACAGAGAGGCGAGAAAGGTGACAAGAGAAATGCCTATTATATTGGACATCGTTAGCTCGAGAATGATTCAACAGGACTTAAAAGAAAGGGCCTCCCTACCAAGAAAGAGGAACTGGGCCCAAAAGAACACGGCGCCAAAGAAAGGAAAATTCAGAGTGACGCGATTAAGGAAGGTGCTGCCAATACAGGGTGTGCAAACATGCTGTGCCGCAGGGTTGTCTGCGAGCTCCGAGCATGGTTTGATAAGGTCTTTGTTGCTTGAGCAGTCCGACTGGTCCAGGGGCGGTTCAGGGGCACGATCACAGAATGTTTGTGGGCCGAATGTTGCGTACTGCGGAGCAACCACCATCGAGATAGAATAGTACAACGCTAAGATAATTAGCATCAACATAGCGGTAGCTAGGAGTAGAGCTTGGGGAGACGTGTGTCCCTGTCGAATTTCGAAGATTCTGATCCACAGAAAGCGGATTCCCACTGCAGCGATCCCGGCAACAGAACTGCAGAAGAAAAAAAGGGCGATCACGATGAACATAACATAGTCAATAGGAAATATATTGGCGGACTGGATGAGAGCCCAGTTGATTGGATTGAAAAAATTGACGTGTCCGAGGATATATCCACAAAGGTTCTTGCAAGTCGAGTTTTTGGCTTTGTCAACTGCCGTCAAAAGCATAGACATCCATGTAATGGACGCGAACAAAAGCAGTAGAATGCCACCCAGGAGCTTGAAGGGACGGAAAACCGAATCTACCTTGAACCATGCCATAACAAAGCAGCTCCAAGCTTCGCCCTGAGCTTCTTCCACCAGGCGTTGTCGCTGAGTAAGTGTCCTCTCCTCCCGAGCAAGAGTATCGAGCTCCCCACGATCACTAGACGATAGGAGATCGGGATTCCCTCTGCAACGGCCTTCAAGCTGACGTTGCTGCTCACGATTTGTCTCTAGTCGTACTGCCGTACTGTCTCGCGAGCCTAAGGTGGAGATTGATGGGGCGGTCTTGATCAAGCTGATTGGGAAGAGAGAGAGACCCGAGGAAGTATACAGGACATAAAGGCAGATTCCGACGGTCATTAGCGCCCCAAGGGCAAAGGTCAGAGCACGTTCCCAATCTATATGAATTTGTATCAATTTTGCAGTCCCAAAAATCCTAGGGAAAGCCGGAAAAGCTCACGATCTTCACTCAATAATTTCTTGAAGTACCCCAGGTCCATGCCATTCTTGTTCCTCGTCACTGGGAAAAAGAATCCGACAACTAACAGAATAACCACAATCGTAACGAATGTCATGGTGTACTTAAGGGTTCCCAAAAGCCGCTGCCTAGCCGTTTGCTGGCCTGTTTCTGTCGCAATCTCGTCATATCCATCGTACCAGAAATACGCAAATGGAATTCCCAGGAGACAAAGTAATGCATCCAAGGAATACAGGATGTAATATACAACTGTCAAGGAGGAAGTTATCTTATCAACCTCATCCTGCGTAGCCCAGTCTTTCCGCTGGCCAAGCTTGGACGAGGCTGTCGATGAGACGAGCGCCACATCCACCGGCAGAAGGGCCACTGTCGCAAGAAGACTGGTTATCGCGATCACACATGTGAAAGTCACAGATGGATAACGATCCCGAGGAGTTTGGTAGATATGAACAAAGACAGAAGCCACAGCAAACCACAAACGCATACACGGCCCAAATCAGGGATATATGAACGAGTGCCATAAAAGGCAACTGGTCTCGTGGGTACTTTCACACGAGCCAGTAAATAACTGGGAGAGCTGCAGATCACGGTCTTTTTCAAGCAAGGCCAAAGTCATGAGGCTACCCGAGAGAACCTGGTAAGGACGGTAAGAATGGGAGGAACAGCCTAGTACCAGAAGCAGCGCGTAGATGATTTATTATAAGGTTCCTTGGGCGGGGCAGTAGCTGAAGCCTGGTCGATGACGATGTTTTGTTAAATACTCAGGCGCACCTTTTCGTCACTGCCCTTAATATGGACTAAAGATTTTCGGATGGCACGACTCGATAAGATAATTGGTCACCAAATCTTAACTAGCTCTCGTCGCAGAAGTGGCGTTGATCGCGTGACGTCGTCCCAACAATGGCGGGGATCCCCACCCGTACAAGTTTGCTGGGTGCCAACGCGTAGGTATGGTAAGCTTCTGCCGGATCTGCTTGATTTATCTTGGTGCTATTTCACTTTTTCGGCAATTCATGTTCAACGTTGGCTCAACATCTGCATTTACAGCCATCAAGTAACACCGTGCCGGCACAACAGATCCATCGTGCTCGAATTACCAATAATTTGGGAATGTCCATTGAAAATTTTGGCCAGTGCCTTTTGCTAGTGCATTTACCACATTCTCTGGTCAATCAATCCCTGCTAGTGGGGAATCCGGCCTTTTCCATGGATGGCCCCTAGCTACAAGAGGAAGCGTCACAATCGGACGGTGCCGAATCCAATATCTTCTGCTGACGCTGATGATAACTTTTCGTACACGTCGGCCTTCATTACTTTTGAAGCAGGTCCACCAAGTAAATTCCGTTCATAAGACATTTTAGAATGTAATTCGTTATTAGACGTTCTATTCGTTCTCTTGCAACATTGTCACGCAAAATGCAGGGATAGATACACTATTGCTATTTCGCAAGATTATCACATAGGAGGCAGAGAGGATCCCTGACCTTATTCGACTGTTTAACCGCAAACTGAGGGCACGATAAATGCTCTGATGCAGAGCGCGCTTCTTATTGGAAATCCTAGAATTACGATGAGATGTTGGAGATAAGCATCTAAGGCTAACAGATGGCCAGGTTTACGACCAACTGAACTGTCGGAAAAAGCTATTATATTCTGAAGTGAATTAGCTCTATTGTATGGAGCTGCTTTCATGTAGATGGAAATACCTTTCCAACTGATATCCCCATCACAATCAGCATCCAGCCTTTCAAATTGGCTGCGCGCCTCGTTTGCCTTAACGCCAATAGCCGAAAGAGCCTTCTGGAACTCGTTCCATGTAGCTTTACCTATTAGGTTGATGAGTATCCACATAGATTCCTGCCAAAATATTCGGAATGCCTGAACTGGAACGGTTTCTAACCGTCATTTTCTTCAACCTGTGATAGGAAGCTTAGTGAGCGCGAACAATTTATAAAAGATTGGAGCTATGGCGTACCCCGTCACCGATTTGCTTTTGCCATTCAGGTTCGTATTTTCCGTACCATCCTGATTTATTGGGGGAATGCGGTAAGCTCAGCATTGCCTTTGGATAATTGCTAAAGGGGGTATGGCAGGAGTTGGATGTTGTATGCTACTTTGGATCTATTACTATCGTGAAAAGAAATTGGTATGCGCTGAGTATGAAATCCTTGGAATTCAGTACATCCAAATATTACGTCAAAATTTAAAGTATGTTTTGAATCGTGCGAGAAAGAGAAGAGTTTATATGATTTATCTGTTACACCAACCGTACAGTGAGGTATAGGAAATGCGGAGGAGGTGCCTATCCACCACCGGGGCCGCCTGTTGATACATCACCTCGCTTACCTGCTTGCATACGCACAGAGGATCCCCTCAAAAGGAGGAGCTGGATCTTCTTAGGAGGACCAGCGATTAGTCTGAATATCATCATACCCATATCAGGCATATCTCACATTCTTCACTCGTATCCTTATCGTATCAGGACGCCCTCCGGGGATTGTCCTAACATTATCGATAATTAGCACTCACCTGGGAGCTGTTATTTTTAGGTATTCTCCACCAGTTCCTTATCATTACCCGGTTTTATTTGCTGATAAATCTGTGGATATTGGGGATCTTCGTTCTGAAAATATGGAAGATAAAATCTAACATATATTTGCAATCAAAGTGTTTCTTTTGTCATTGAAATGGCCGAAGAATATCTGTGGCAAAACTGAGGTCTGGGTGAGCTAATCATGACACCCCAGTACAGAAAAGATTTCAGAGACATTATCCGGAATAGTGTACACCTGTCCGAAACATCTATCACTAGTAGCCGTATCTTATGGCATACGCTCCGTTTTTCGCTAGCGATAGCGTAGAGATTGCTAAGGCGGAGGGAAGACGCACTCACATTAATCTCTCGCGAATTTTGATTATCAGTCAAGTGAAAGATGCGACGCAGCTGCTGACGCGTCATGTAAGGTGGGACGCACGGTGTGGCACCATTAAAGCTCCGAAAGACATAAAAGCTAAGGCAACCAATAAAACTACTCCCAGCATACACTGTGATCGCAATAATACCTTTAGTATCCCCGTATTAGCTGACATTTAACTACTTGCGTGAAATCGGATCATTCTTATTCCTCAGGGGTTTCTCCACCCATCCGAATCAATTCCTCGTATGCCTTCTTCTTGTCCATTTTGGTTACACCAGGGCTATTCTGAGCACTTAAGTAAATTAGCGTTGTTAGCCATATCGCATCACTGTAGCCATTTTCTTTGATTTCAGCACTGACACTTCAGGTCCAGCAGGGACTTGGCTCAAGTCTTTGTTTTGTCCACCTCTAGTTTTGTATAGCTTTTGGCAGGACTGGTCACAGCCAATGTCTTGATCAAGCTGTACTTGATCGGGTCCCTTTACCTCATCTGAGACATTTGGGTTATTTAGTCCTCTGCATTGCAAATTCTGTAATTAGCGTTGCCCATAGACCCTCAGCGTTAGTTGCCAGGTAGTCCACTAACGACTTGTAACCTTTCATACCATCCAGGTACTCTTCAGTATTAGGCATGTCGTGGTTCCTAGCTCATCAATTGACTACTGAATATATTCATTGATTGATAATAGAGAACAATGCGTGAATAAAATGTGCAACGTCTTTATAACCTCTGATCTGTATTACAAAACTAGCGTGTCGTGTTCGTCACGCATCCGTCATCCTCCGCCTTTGGGCATATGACGTAATTCATCACGGATAGAAGGGAATTAATACAATCACCTACTTTTGTTACTAATCGCACTAATTTTTTGGACTAGGGGAATGACCGTATGATTTGGGGACAATGTGATTATAGATAGGCAAAAAAATCGGGACTTTGATGATATGTTCTATTCGGGATTGTTGCGGAGAGCCACTCCCCCTTGCGTCGGGTCCACGATATTCCGTGCTTATAATCGCACACAGATATCGCTCCTATATCTTCTCCTTCGAAAGGAACATCGCCGTTTCGAAGGAGAGTTGGGCTCTCTTCGCAACGGTTTTCTTCCCGCCCACCGCAGAACCCTCATGTATGTACTAAGTATGCTTCCGCATAGCTTTGCTTCCTCCTAAGAATATACGGAGTGCTACGGGCCCGCCTGCAGCCCTCACGGCGCTGTAGCCTTCTGTCAAGGAGACCTACATCACCATGTTCAGACTGCAGGTGCCCCGTACGGGCCAAAAATATCTCACTCGTCTCCATTTGTAGCAGTGTAGCAATGGTTGGAATAGATTATCTTATTGTTCAGAGGGAAACATTAGGCTATATATACAACAAGAAGAACAAGTTGATTGGAAACCAACTTGTTCTTCGTATAGATATCTCGGGATTAATTCCGATAGTTCGGCTTGGTTCCTGATCTGCACCAGCCTCATATCACAACATGTTACAATACCCTGCTACGGAAAATTACACCATGCGTGTAAAACGACGGTGGAATATTATGGAATCCAATAATGAATCTGCATGTGGGGAGGGCTGCCTAGTGCCGGGTAACCTGATGATCTTCTGGGCGGGTTCAGTTCTCCTTCTCATCCTGTGCGGCTTGTGCTGGTCATCGCCTGTGAGGCTGTCTCTGTAGCCCAGAGAACCTTAAGAAGTGATACTAGTAACCAACAACCATTCTGACCACTTAGCGGTTGTTTGCGGGCGAACAACACCCTTAACCGATCCTAATGGTGGAAGCCTTAACCAAGAATCACTATCGATAAGCCTATCATTATAGTAGGCTTAGACATATAAGGCCTAGTTCTCCCATTAGCTATGATAGCTACGGCGTTTAACAAAAAATAGCGCTCGACACATGGGATGATACATCGCAATATGCACTAACACCTAGCAACCTTCGTCGTTTAACCGCCTCCTCATCTGACAAGAGATTCTCCCTTGATTAGGCGCTATAGATTCCCCATGTGAAATAAATGACAACAAATATAGACTAACAAGCAAGGATATATTTCTTTTATTAGAACAAGGCGGCTGCAGCTGCGGCTGCGGCTGCAGCGCACAGTGGTGCAGCGGTGATCAAAGGCTTCGCGGGAGCAACAGCGGCATCAGGGGTCTTAGTTGCCTGAGGAGCAGTGAAGGAGGCGACACCGCCATTGACCTCCAGTTCCTTGTAACTGATATATAGGGTCGGGATGTTCGTGGTCGTTAATGAGTTAGAAGAGGCAAAAGTTCCGCCAGATGATGAGCCAGTGAACGAGGAACTCCATGAGCAAGAGGCCGATTCAGAGTAGTGAGTGAAAGAGCACTCAGCTGTCTCTGTAATTGTGGCGGTCGTTTGGTCGGTTGTGTAAGTAAAGGAAGCTGCAAAATTATAGGTGGCAGGGCCCTGGATTAGGGTCCAGGGATGTTTGGAATCGATCTGGCAGTCGGATTTGGGCGCAACGCTCAGACAATTGATTTCGTAAGTGGTTGCGACCGCATTGATGCCAGCAAGACTGGCTGCGGTGCTGGTGAAAAAAAATGGGCCGATATTACCACCAAGTCCTAAGCCGACACCGAAATAGCCGACAGTGGTGGTGCTCTCGCCAGCGGCCAAAGCAGCCAATGTAACCGCGAGAAACAAACTGATGCGCATTATGGCTTCTTCTCTCGTTAAAATCATCTAAGAGAATAAATTCCAAAGCCCCAATTAATGTGATATAGCAGAACACAGGCAATCATTCTCAGACAGCAGAAGCGAACAGAAAATAGGCCGCGGGAAACAGGACGGCCCCTTTCTTTTCAGCGGCAATCACAACGTTAAAGGATTACCTTGCTTCGCTTAAGCATATGTGGGAGTAACGTACTCAGACCCTTCTATCCCCATTTGGTATGATCTCTAGACTAGCGAAGCCTGTAAATCCACCTGTATCTGGTGATTGGTGTTATAAAATGACCAATTATGGCCCTATACCTAGATAGTCGGGCTTGGTAACATCGGCCTACGCCACAAGTGCAGGTACCTGGTGACGGGATCACGTGATCAGGTGGTTACATAGACCTCGCCAAGCGCGGGTTTGGGTTGGGTTTTCATTTTCTGTTGAAGATATCCCGGTTGCTGAGATAATAATGAGGCTGGGATCACGTGCATACATATATACCAATCTCTCAGCCTACTTGTATCTTAGACAACACATTCAACACAACACACAATCAACTCACCTCAACAACAAGAACACTGAAGCATCACTTTTACAATAACAACCCGCGGTGGGTTGCCCGTGGGCGGGTAAAGAAAATGAAAACCCAACCCAAACCCGCGCTTGGCGAGGTCTACAGGAGAGAACTGCGGGTCACCTGATTAACCAAACAGTACAAACACCATCCTCCAAAAGTTACATCATCGGGACAACCCGATGGGCCAGGACAGGGCGAAATCTCTGTGACAATATCAAGATCAACCCTTCATAGCTTCAGCACTTTGAAAGTATCGGGTTTCTACGATGGCACAACAACATAACGCTACCCTAGTCAAAGGCCGTCGGATGCCTAAAAAGGTTGACGCTTGGATACTAGGGAGCAGTATTGCGTCATTGGCGGCGGCAGTTCATTTGATTTCCGATGCCAACGTGCCTCCCTCTCAGATCCATATACTCGAGTCTCAGGAAACCCCTGGAGACGGCATAACTAGTATTGGTGACCCACTGAACGGATACGATCACCGACCTGGGTGCTTGCCAAGTTTCAATGACGTCTGCTTGGGAAAGCTGCTTGCTCTGGTGCCTTCTGCCTGCGGTTCGGGAAGAACAGTCAAAGAGGATATCGAAAAGTTGCATGACGATGAAGGCTGTCAAGACGTTCCTATCACACACATCTTGGCTCAAGCAGATGTCGGGCCGAAGAGAATGGAAATAGGGAAACTCGGCCTGGGCCTAAAAGATCGAATGAAATTGACGATGCTCATGTTGCGATCCGAGGAAAGGTTGACCAGAAAGCGAATCGATCAGCTTTTCAACAAGCCTTTTTTTGACAGCATATTTTGGATTGTTTTCTCTACTATGTGAGCTGCTTGACGAAAAGAAGACAAAGAGATCGCGTAGATGCTAAGAATGAAATTTTAGATTCACCTTCCAGCCATGGCACAGTGCTGCCGAATTCCGCCGATGCCTTCGAAGATACTTTCACGAATTTCGAAACTTAAACACTAAAAAGCCACTGGACTGCATTCAATTCAACCAATTTGAATCAATCATCATGCCAATGATGCAATTCCTTCAAAAACAAGGCGTTGATTTCCGATTATGCACCAAGGTCACGGATATTGTAACACATTCAGACCGTGGTAAAGAAACTGTTTCAGCGATTAGTATATTGCATGACAGCTCCCAGGAAACATTAAATGTTCGTCCCGATGACATCGTCATCGTCACCCTCGGATCTGTCACATCAGGCTCGTCGAGTGGTTCCAACAAAAGACCACCACCTCTGAAGACAATGATAGCCGAAGATGAGCTAGATGAAAACTGGTCGCTTTGGTTGAATCTAGGAACAAAGTATCCGAGCTTTGGAGATCCGTACAATTTCTGCACTCGCCTCACCGAGTCTAGGTTGGAGACCTTTACGGTTACACTCAGGGATGCTGAGTTCTTCTATCGTCTCGCTAAACTAACATACGATAAGCCGGGGGTAGGGCACTTGATATCTTTAAAACACAGCAATTGGAAGATCAGCGTCTGCATACCTCGCCAGCCATTTTTCTCTTCTCAACCTGACAACGTACAAATCCTCTGGGGCTATGGCCTTTGTCCGGAACGGGAGGGAAATCTCGTGAAAAAGCCGATGCTGGTTTGCTCTGGCGAGGACATAATGGCCGAACTGCTATGGCATCTGGGCTTCCCTTTGGAACCAATTCTTCACAACTCCATCACAATCCCATCTGTGATGCCGCGACGGACAGCATCACTGTTGCCTCGAATTCGTGGAGATCGACCAACGGTAATAATAGACGAGATGACAAATCTCGCTGTGATAGGCCAATTTGTGGAAATACCAGATGAGACAGCCGTCAGTATGGATTATGGTGTGCGAGGAGCCCAGTTAGCAGTGAGCCATTTGATGGGCCTTCCTAAGCAACCAGAGGAGGCAAGGAAAAGACCTAGTTTTCCTTTCTTGAATTTGTGGGTTTGATGGAGCAGACAAAAGATACAATTTTAACATCATTCTCTGAAAAAATACAGTACAGTAACACCCTACCGTAAATGAACAGTCCTGATTTAGCTGCTGTATTGCAGCAGCATACTATCTATTTACTGAACTTCAGATGCTTTGTTCAACATCAACTGAATAACGAAAGCCGTGTTATTCCTCAACGCGTGATATAGTCTCTCCTTACTCCTCGTTTTTAGTTGAGCTGTTATACTCAATATCTATTCTCTGATCCAGAGAGCTTTTTCTTTCAAGACTCACGCTTTCCCCCCCTATACATGTTCCCGATGGCAGCCTTATCAACATTGCTGGTATTGGGGACCGGGGCATAAGGATGGGAAAGGCTCTCGCGACGGAGATAGGCATATCTATTTTAATAGCGCCGTCATCGGTGATTTGA